CAATGAAATACCCTTCGGCCCACCTGATGGCTCGCAACCACCACCACCTCGACCTCCATTACTCGAAAATTTAGTGATGCACGCAGCTTGGGCCGTGGCGGTATATGTGAGGGCGGCGTAGAGGGCGGCGAAAAGAAGAGTGTATCGAGCCATGACTGCAAAGATACTGCTAGTTGCGTCAAATCAAAAACACCGGGAAGGATAAATACAAAAAGAAATACTCACTGAATGTTGGTCCACTGAGCTTGATACGATACGCTATGAAAAATCGGAAATGCTGAAGCGGTCTGGTGACAAATGCTTTTTTAGGGGATAAGAATAGAAAGAGACAACCGCCAGGAGGACCTTTTCCGTCTTAAATATCAAGAACCGTCTGAAGATTTGAGTCAGTCTGCCGGTGTATTGATGAATGATCTTCTCCTCTCAAAGCTTCCTGTGTTATAAAACAAGGGGTATGGAATAACCCGACCCCCTGAAGGGGGTGTTCCCCGAAGTAAGGAGGTGTAGGCAAGTCTTTTCCCCCTTACCCCCCTAATAATGCGTCTACCTGCAGTCCCTGATGATTTTTATCTCAATGCCCTGAGAAATTCATGGGGAAACCCAACAGTACTGACTCGGGATGAACTTATGTTAAGACACGCAAAACACACAGTTCGCCTCCTTGATACAGGCTTTCCAATAAGAGCATGTTACATGCCAGGCACTCTCGGAAGCAAGATTAAGTGATTTTCCATTTACTTATGCCTCTAAAAGTGCACGAAGTTAAGCTAGAAAGGAAAAACGAAGACCGCAAATCCCGCTTTTATCGTAATTAGTCGTTAAGCCGGGTGGTTCAGAAGTACACATTCTAGGAGATACATTGCAGTCATCTGGCAACTCACGCACCCTCTTTAAATCGCAGATCCCGACCAGGCTGAAGACGAATTGCAATTCATCATGTTATCCTTTTTGATAGAAAGATTTGATGGGATGTAATAACTCTTCGGCCTAGTAGGCATCTAGGTTTGATTGCGAAACGTATCCCACCGGGTGCAGGATGACGCCGAAAAAGGCGTCTACAGTGCGGTCCAATTTTTACTCCAACTACGAAGTAAATTGAGTCCTCTAAGTAGTCAAGTGAAGATCTCATGCTTCTTTGCATGCATTGATTGGATGTTCCGCACAAGGGGTTACCTGCGTCATGCGGCAGCCGGTGGGATACGGGGGGCTAGTCCGCTAGAATCAACCCAATGCGCCAACGTGACTAGGCCGTGATCGAGGACTTGTTGCTTGTCAGGACGCGGGAAGGAGACTTCGCCCAACCGGCTGGTATGCTACAACGTCTCGCATGCCATGTGTCTATCCGGTCGCAAAGTTGAAGCTCGCCTGCGTCCGGGCGGGATGTTGGGTGGATGCTGCGTCGACTGCAACAAGCGACTATTGGTGTGGATTTAAAACAGAACGTGATAATCCAGTTGGGCGCTTAGTTGTTGCATATCTTGCCTCGTGCAGTATAACTTCGGGAGTGCAGCAACCGGATTGACGCGAGGACACCCTGACAAACATTATCAACCCTTCAAATGAAAGGAAGTAATTCACAAGGACCTTCGCGACTAAATAGAACGAATCGTTCTTCTTGTACTAATCCTTATACATAAATCACAGCAACAAGTCACCTTATCCCCACGCGGCTCCGTTCAAGAGTCATAGTTGATTACCTCTCAGTAGTGCTGGCTGAATTTATATTCACTCTCGAAACACCTGGCGTCGAAGTGCAGTGCATCTTTCTGAGCCATACTTATAGGGACGGGCAGTTTCTCACTAAGTTCAATGTTTTCCGTGATTCAGAGTAGGACGATTTGGCTGAGGGATGTGGATCAACACAGACAGGACGTGGAGTCTATCTTGCTGACAGTCTAGTTGGATGGCACGCAAGCTCGAACGAACGCCAGAATGGCGCATTCCAAGGTGGTACAAAACATCTTGCCACCTACATGTATCACATTTAGGTGCTGTATCAACACTTTACCAAATAATTGTTTCAACATGGTTTCTCAGAGCTCCACTATTCACAATGAAAACTCTCCGATTTAGTTGAACAGCGGCACAACATGAGATCAAAAGCACTGACAAACTTGCCGTGATCATCAGTTGCCTAATAACATTCGGGTGCTTGCACATAATGCGGAGGCTCATCATATTAATCATGCACGGTTGCAAATTTGTCAATTATCCTGAAGTAAAAGGTAAGGACAAATGGCCTGTCGGGTAAAGATCTGATTGTTGATAAAGAGCGTTCTGTCTCTTCGACGTCTGAGCCTTAGAATGGTGCCTAGTACCCATGTTCTCACATCGTTGGCGTAATGGTCGCAGCCGCCTAAAGTGGGCGAAACATCTGACAGGTAGGCTCTGTCGCAGAAGGCTTGATGCGCCTTTTGTTGCTTAAGGGCAGCCTCCGAACGGGCCCTTGGACCAGTCGGGGACGCAGCCCTGGCGAGCCTCCAGCTCAGGCTCGGCCTGCTGGCTAGAAGGGGCTGCAAGAGCCAGGGTAGCTTTGACGGTCAGTCCAGTTAGCTCAACTTATTGATAACATGGCATAGCCCTATAATCATGGAAACGTACCGAAAAGAGCCAAAACAGAGATGTACTTCATTTTGCCGAGGATAAGGAGTGCAAGTTGCTTGAGAGTGTTTTGCAGTCGTTGGGAGTGATAGTGTAAGGTCTAAAAGTAGGCAAGTAAGGAGTCAGGAACCAGACTGCTCTTATAGTTGTTCAACCCCCTCCAACTCTAATCCCGATCTGCGATGTTGGCTATCTTGGCTATTGGCCAGAAAGCTTGGCCTAGGCAATTGCTTGTAATGGTGGATACAGACCACCAGACTGCATCACTTTAATATCGTTTGTCGTACAACATCATGTCCCTGGTCCTATGTTGAGTGGTCAAGCAGATCTGATTAGATGAGATAACTGATCATCAACCGTGGTCAATCTTGGATGCTAGTGACAAGAACGGCAACATCTTCGAGAATCCCACTCCAATTGACGTCATAAGATGGAACAATCCAATCATCATAGGCTCTATGGATCACTTGGAGCTGCGTTATGGACGTGGAGTTGCATCCCGCGCGCCAAGTCGACCGCGCGGTCGAAGGGTTCCGCGGCGGGAAAGTTGAGCTAAGCCCGTCTCCATAGGTAACAAGGTGCCGGGGTTTTGAATCTTTCACGATTCTAATTGACTCGTTTCTATGTCTTTGTTCCAGAGCAAACTGCGGACTCTAAGGAACGACTCTGATGTTATGCACAGCTTCAAGCCCGGTGTCTAGACCTGCGCTCCGACAAGGCGTGGCTTTGGGCATGAAAGCTTCCAAAGTAGCTTTCCTGCAAACGATGTGATGTCAATCTCAGTGCATTTGAATACCTCTAAAGATTTCACACAGCATCCCGTGCGGACTTTACTAATATCCTCTCGTTGAAGCAACCGTGGTAGCCAGGTCAGGGCGCAGTATTACTCAACGCATCGAATTAACCTCTAAAAGGACAACCCGAAGGGAATCTAACACGTCAGAATATATAATTGAGAAGCACCCCAAACACTCTCTACGCAAACTTCTGAGATTACAATTGACCTTTCTTTCTCTGGCAACTATTTCGCTTAATACATCCATGGATGATCAAGGTTCAGTCTAAACACCGCACTGTGTGTCCGACTGCACTCTGGTATCAAAACAGAGTATATAGACCATGTCCCTAAATTTCACCTGGATAGCAGAAAACGGATACCGTTTATAGCCTCAGAAACCTTTGTGTCGCCGTTAACTCGCAGAAGCCTCGTTACTAAGTCCGATCGTCCGAAGTAACTGGCCGTTTCCGGTGGACGGCTCGGCCCCACCCGTCGGAACTTCAGCCGATCGGTGAAGCAGGGTTGCGATGCGTAACAGGACGAGGGTAAAGTTGGTCTCCCATCTGATCTTCAGATGCGACGGAAGCGTTGTAATTGTAAAATTGACATCGCCTCATTTTCTTGTCTCCGCGCAACTTTTTTCCCTGTAGATTCGCCTACCTATATTTGATACGGATAACAGTGACGACGTTGGAGACAACAACAATGACGGCGACAACGGCGGCAATAATGACAATGACGATGACAGTAAATCAGAGTAAGGTGCACAACCATAGGAAATGTAGTCGCTGTAGAACAGGAAAAGTAGGCAGTCGCGGAAAAGCAACCGGAATTCTTCTGGGAACATGATCCCATAGCTTCGACAAACATATCAAGCAGTTCGAGCCCTTCAGGTCAGCGCGTTGCCCTCAAGTCTATCATCAAAAGAGATGACGTAGTTATAGAGGTCTGCATCAGCATCCAAAATATACGTACACCCGAGAATCCGAATATTCCCCAGTGTACTCCAATCCTCTGATGACATCACCCCAAGCAACTTGACACATAAGCCTTGGAGATGTGCCTAAAGTCTTACTGCCTCGGGTTTCGTCTTACATGCTTTGCCAAGTATCTATTGGGACTTTGTAATGAGGCTTTCCGAAGTGCTTCCATAGAGAGAATTTTGTCCATTTCCCGTGGATGAAAAGTCCCCCGTAAATCGTGGCCCCAGGTACTGCAGGGTCCACTGCACTTATATTGACGTTGCAGCCCCTCTTGCGTCAAAGAATAATTATTCATACAAACTAGACATCAATTTTCTTCTGTTGACAATGATGATATTTTGCTACGCCGGCCGATTCAAACTACCAAAAGTGTGTCAGACCAGTCGGTCAGATAGGACCGCAACCGGCCATCCAGACGTGTTGCAGCCGCCATCGGCTATGCCCTCATCGGCTACGCCCCCATCGGATATGCCCCATCGGACACATCTGACATATCTGACATGCATCCTTCTCCCCTTCTAGCTTTTTTTTTGATCTGACATGCATGATCCAGCTCTGACCTGATAAAAGCCTCGAATTGACCCGACCTCTGAGTACAAGCTCTCTTCTCTTGTCAACTCAGTCATCGTCCCACAATCATGGCAGAGTCAAAGTCCGAGACGACGTTCTACGTCACAATCCACCTAGACCCTGAGAATGTGGGGAAATGGTTTGAGATAGCCCAGCCGGTATTTGAGAAAATCAAAGCAGAGCCTCAATTGGTCTTTTTCGAGTTGTACAGATCTCCGGATGACCCTGGAGCTATCTCGTGGCTCGAGAAGTGGTGAGTGCATTACGATATGCTTTCTGGCCCTAGTCAATCTATTCTGGCTTATCCCCTTCCCATGTTTCAAGCAAGGGATTCTGACCAGAATTGCAGGTCCGAGTCTCGTGAATGGCTCTTTGAGGTTCGCAACCCTCTTTTGATGATAGCGACCTCTACAGAAGTGACATCTAATTGGACTTGACCACAGATTCAACTGAAGAAAGACTACTACACGAACTATTTTGCAGCAACAGAGCCCCTCTTCGTCAAGCCACGCGAAATAAGGTTTCTCACCCCAGTTGGGTCGCCTTTCTTTCACTCGAAGAGTTGAATTCCGTCACTCTTGGCGTGCATCCATCTGGCATCATGGATTCAGACCCAGGTCACGTGGTTGGAGGCGGACTCTCCATGTCGGCCCCGAGGCTTTGCGGCCATACTCCTTGACATCATGATTGGGCGAATCATAGATTCGCGTACCTACTTGGTACGACGTCGAACTCCTTTCGGATTAAAGTTCAATGGTCGCACTAAGGGGTTCGTGGGGGTTCATCGGCTATGAGGCACGGGCATCGGTGGTTATCAGTTGGCTCCGGTTCAGTCCATACCTTAGACAAGCACCTCTTTAAAGACAACGCCGCATGGGCTGCAATACATCGCCGCGCCCATTTCTCATTACGTGTGCTACGTGTGTCTCGTCTTTCAAGTACTCCCAATCCCCGAAGATGCTATGAACCGAGGATTGGTCGCTCCATTGCGGATGTCTTTTGCCGATTGAGTTCGGTGCGATAGGGGGCCAAGGGAGCAAACGGGGTCTTCGAGATCCAGCCCCCATGACCACGAGTGTACATTGACACGGCGGTTGCATTTGTAACTTCCGCAAGGCTGCTTTTCCTAGGATTTTATGGCTTCTGCTGCCAAGAGACCCCCCTCGGGCCCGTACGTCGTACTCAGCATGGATCGCAATCCACTTTCAACACGCTCATCGTTTGCCGAGCCAGAACGTGCTTTTTGGCCATCAGTAACACGATAGCAAGATCTTAGTTTACAGCTTTTTCCTGTTCGTAGCCTGTATCATGGGAAGGAATGCAATTGAATTTAATCTAATATGAATGGAATCAAGCAAAGCATTCCTTGAAGGCTTGAATGCGACCCCGCGCAATAGTGCTTCGCATAACGCCATTGTGCCCTGCATTACTACCTGCAGCATGCAGCGGCAGTTTGTTTCAACATGCAAGCATCTCAGGAAAATTCCCTGCATTGCATCTGGTGTCTCGCCCGGTGACTACGCAACTAGTGCCGGCTTCTGCGTGAGCCAAGAGATAAGTGCAACACCAGTTCCTGCGTTGCTCGCGGCACCAACGAAGTGCTAGAGATCCTACGGAGTATTACCATACCCATGAATGTTTTCTGCCCGACACTTTGGCTCCTTTGCTGGCTTTGGAGGGCTGCACCCTGTATTCATTCGCGGAGGCATGCGCGTCGCGCCTAGGGTTGAATAGGGGTATCTCATGCTCGAGGCCGTATCTTTCCGTCGTCGATTACGTTCTCGAAGCACTCTTTTGTACTTCAGTCGAACTTACCAGAGGAGTCTTGACTTGTACCTGCTCATCCGTTTGGACTTTTTTGCATGCTATCTGAAGTTCGAGTCGCAGTCCAAAGACTGTGCTTTCCTCGCTCATAGACATTCAAGATCCTCGCCAGTCCCACTGAGCACTCAAGATTAATGAGACCTGACCCATCTCGTCTATCGCATCATCAAGAATCAAGACATGCACAGCTCGCCACTTGACCCGTTATTGGAGCTCTGCACCGAAAGGAAGGCATTTTAGAGTTCACGGTATCGCAACTCCCTGTGCCGTGAGGGCGAACACCACTCTCCAACCCCGGGAACAAGTGGGGTCCGGTCATTCGAAGCACCTCCAACGGTTTATCGACAAGGGTTATTGGGACATGGGCAGACAAGGGCACCGAGTCATGTCTTCCGAGACCCTGTGTGTGACTACCGGTTCTCGTTGCGCCGAGGAGCCCCCAATGCATGGTAGAACCTGGAGGAATATCAGTCACGGAAGATTCTCCCCTGCGGCAGTGCCCGGGCATTTTTGCATGCTATCCTGTTTTATGGTGATAACGGCGGCCATAGTAACCCAACTGCTACTTCGTAGGTGCCAGATGCCACGCCAGCGTGAGTTAGAGAGGGAAGGGTCTCTTCCGTTGATGAACCGACGGTGACAATCTGCTGCGAGTAGTATGCGACACGACACTCCTTTGCTATTGCCATGATCAGGATCAAAATTGCCTCGAGACACCTTCCGACACATATTTCACCGTGGTCCCCACGGCCGGTTTATGGCACCGTGTTCACATTTTAAGCAACGACGAACACGACGCTCTCAGTACCGACCGAACACAGCAAACTCGTCTTTTGGTCAGTGACCTACGGGCGCGAATTTGCCCAAGTTGCCTGCCATGGTGACAATGAACCACGACTACACCAAGGGCCAGATGATCGGTCTGGCCGTTGGGTTCATGATCATTCCGACCATCTTTTATGTCCTTCGAATATGGGCGAAGCTGCTCGTCAAGCGGTTTGCGTGGGATGACTACCTCGCGGGGTTTGCGCTGGTTCGTTCTTGCCCTCCATCTATCTGCCGGTCGGGGTGCTGACAGATCCTGCAGCTGGTTTCCATCACCTGCTGTACTTTACAATTGGCTAGTAGGTTTTACCTTCACATTGACTTTGATCATTTGAGGCTAATCATCTGAACAGCCGCGATCCATGGACACTTGGGCCAACACCAACCTACGTTTCCTGACGGGTCCCCGATCATGGACGATCCAGGGTTGATCTTCTTCGAGGAGGTGAGCCTAACCTTAAACTTTCGTCTTGTTCTTGGCTCCTGCTAACAAGCTTTATGTCGACGTAGACCAAGTTTGCACTGAACATGATATCCATTCTGGGCTTGGGCCTAGTCAAGTCCTCCATCTTAGTGTTGTACAGGAGCCTTTTCCCAAGTCGCAGGTTTCACTACGTCGTGTATGCCGCGCTTGCTTTCGTCATTGGCTGGACCGTCAGCTTCTTCTTCTCTCATTTGTTCACATGCTATCCTATCACTGTTTTCATCGAGCCTTACTACGGCAACTCCTGCGTGCAGACGGTGCCAATGTTCCTGGCGCTGCTGTTCACCGACGTGGTGGCGGACTTTGCGATACTCATACTTCCCATTCCGATGGTCATAAGGGTAAGAATGCCGCTGAAGAAGAAGTTGGCTGTGATCGGGATGCTCGGGTTGGGCGCAGCGTAAGTTTGCATAACCTTGATGTCAAAACGGGATAGTTAACAGAGATGAAGGGTCTGCGCAGTGAGTGTTACGAGAGTGATCGCTACTTTTGCCATTGCGGAAGAGTACATCAAGCATCCGAACGACGTCATTTGTAAGTTTCGACAGCAGCCTCAATCCGATAGAACTCCCATTGACCTCATCTACAGACTATACTGCGCCAGTATTCTTCTGGACGAACATTGAGCTTTCTTTAGCCATTGTATGCGCCTGTCTTCCAACTCTCCGGCCAATCTGGTTACACTTCTTCCCGAAACCTGCGGCGACGGGCAGCAACTCGTATGAGTATGGATCATCAAAACGTTATGGCGCCCGTAAGAGCAGTCTCAGAACACCGCCTTACGAAGAGTTGGACGAACTTGAATTGACTCGGCATGATGGGTTGACCCGGTCAGGATCAGTCAGAGAAAACGACATTGTGAGGGAGACAACCATACACCAGACGATTGAGCCGTCGGACAATTCCAGCACGGCCAACTTGAGAACAAATGGGCTTGGGCTATAATCGGGATACTAAGGGATGTGGGTGGAGGCGTTAATGGATTTGGGGGCTGGACGGATAATCGGAACTTTACCTCGCGGAAAACAGTTGCCAACAGGAATTGAGCGCCATCGACGGGGCTGGGTTGCAAGATCTTGGCCATATTCTACTTGAGTACCATTTATGATTATTCCTAGTGGGCTGCGCCCAGCACTACGCAGTATTACGAATCCCTCAAGGGTCGGAGGCCGCGAGTGATTTCATTTGATCCCGCGGTGTGCGCAGGGTGTAGGCATCACGTCTAACCTAATCGAGGAAGAGTCACTTTTTTGACCGTTCAGGGTTGCAACGCCGTGAACAGAAGTTTCAATTGTGGGGTTTATAATCGTTGCCGTTCATGCATGGACTGTCAAGGTATTCTGTTCTTTTTGTCAGTGGTGAAATCTGGACGAGATATTCGTTTTCTTACAATTCTTCGATCGGTGGTCGTGCTACTGACCCGCTGATGATCTGCTTCAGCGGTCGAAATAACCTCAGTATCCGCTCTTTGGGGGAGGGGCAGTGGAGAGTGCCCTATCGAGTCAGGGAAGCGGGCGATTCTGCAACACGATGTGCAATCGTGAGTTGAACAGCAGAAATCCCGCACAACCAGGTCGAACCCAGCTCCGAGCTCCACACGTGGCGCGGGGGTTTTCCAACACGACCTTGCTCTGGTGGAATTTGCAATCTCGGGGACGTAGGAATGGACGGCTGCGTTGGTGTCTTGAAGGCTGGCAAGACTTCGTCGTACGATTGGAATATTCGGACTACGCCCCGTCCGCTAAGGTCCGTATGCCCCGAGATGCTACTGTGCCACTGAAGATGGGGAAGATCCCCTATCCCTGCCCTTGCCAAGGCACCTGTACTATGCAGTATTCCTCACGGAAGGGCCAACGCATTCGGCAATTCATGTTCTTCAACGGCGTTGCTATCAAGGTAGGTCATCAAAGGGGCTTCTGGAAAAATCACAGCATGTCACGCAGAAGCGTGCCGACGCCCGCTCACAGACCCTTAAGATCCCAAACCTGTCCTTTCAAATGCACGAACTCCTTGGCTGTCACTGTTTCTCGTTGACGATCACTCGCCGTTGTAACCCCGGTCACACTCTGTTTTCTCGCTCACCATGCGGCTTCTACTCGTCGGTGTGCAGTTCCTGACCATGGTAGCATCTGCTGCCGTCGATGTCAGTGCTCGCTCTGTGGCCGATGATTTGCTCAGTCTTGTCTCGACCTCATCTGTTGGCGTCCAGGTGAGGGCGAGATGGAGTGACTTTGATCTGCCCACGCCATCTGTGATTGTCAATGCCACCTCTGAGAAGGATCTTAGCGCTGTGGTATGTCACTCGCCCCTGACTATCATCTGAAACTAGTAGCCATGCTCATGGATCGTCCTCTGACAGGTCAAATACTGCGCCAAAAACAACATCCCCTTCCTCCCTCAAAACGGCGGCAATGGCTGGGCGACTGGCCAGTTCAACCTGGGCAGTACCGGTGTCCTCATCAATCTCGCCGGCCTGAACCAGGTCAACATCAGCTCTGACAAGAAGACGGCCACGATCGGAGGTGGTGCCCTCATCGGTGATGTAATCACTGCTGCGGATGCCTCTGGAGTCCTCGTCCAGACGGGTAACTGTAACTGTGTCGGAGCTCTGGGGGCCGCCCTTGGTGGTGGCTATGGAAACATTATGGGAGAACATGGCTTCGCCGTGGACAACATTCTCTCCATGAGGGTGATCACCGCCAGCGGAGAAGCTCTGACCGCCTCGAGCACATCCAATCCTGACCTTTACTGGGCTCTCCGAGGAGCTGCACCGAACTTCGGCATCGTCACTTCTGCAACCGTAAACGCGTTCCCGACGACGAACCGCACTTCGTGGATCATGTCACTTACCTTCGACCCTGCCAAGATCGCCGACGTCGCCCAAACGATTCAGGACCTTCCCCTCCTGCCGCAGCAGGTCGTCTACTTGGTCCTCACGAACTCCGGCGACGCTTCCAACTCTCCCATGGTTCTCGTTACCGGATTCATCCGCGAGGGCACCGAAAAGCAAGGCCTCAAAGCCTTTGCGCCTCTGTACAGCCTTGGCCCCTTGACAAACTCCAGCGCAGTGACGCCCTACACCAGCTGGAACGCTGCGAACGACAACTTCTGTGCCCGCGGGGGTCGCAAGCCGGCGTTCAGCACGACGATCAACAACATGAAGGCGGAGACATGGCCCGAGATCTGGTCCCTGTACACCGGCTTCCAGAACCAGTCGACCGCTCAGAACTCTGCTGTCCTGATCGAGCGCTACAACCTGACTACTGCGAAGTCAAAACCCGCGGGCTCCGCGTCTATGCAAGACGAGCTTCGCCAGGAGGCATTTGCGCAGGCGATTGTCATTCCATGGTATGAAGATGCCACTCTGGACTCTGTGGCGGAGACCTTTGGCTCAAAGGTCAGGGACATCTGGAGCTTTTCTTCCAGCGCTGTTGTGAACCCGACGTAAGTTGAAACGCTGTACACAACACTATGAACGTCTACTGACAAAAGATTGCTTAGTTACATTAACTTTGCCCACGGTGACGAGGAATTGGAGGCGATCTACGGGTCCAGCTTGGACAGACTGAAGACTCTCAAGACGAAGTACGATCCTTCGGGAGTGTTTGGTCAATGGTTCAAGATCCAGTGAAGGATGCTTCTAGTTGAAGAACTTCGGTACCGCATAGGCAATAGTTTCGAGAAGCCATGGCATTATCATGGATTGATGAAGTTATGGTTTGCAGGCTTTGTGAAGATTGAAATGAGTATAAGAAGACACCTCTTGTGGGAAGGTGATCTACTGTCATTGAGGCTGTCCTGTCATTTGACCATGGATAACCATTCTCGCGCTGCCCAAGTCAATCTCTTTGAGGTTGACAAATTTCGTCTTCTTTGCAAACTTCCAGCCCACAGCCAAAATGATGAATAGCAAAACGACGATGTAGTGCTGGAAGAATGCCTGGACATCCCATGGAGCGAAAGATGTCCAACCCTGGAAGAAGATGAAGAAGACGTTGCCAGCAAGTCCCAGGTAGGCACAGAACCGCCAGGCGGGCGCTTGAAAGGGCAGGACATCGGCGCTGATGTTCTGTGCAGCAAGGGCCATCCTCAGACGGATGTGATTGAGAGAGATCAGACCCCCTGTGATCCACGAGTGTTAGCGAAGATCTTTGTATGGGAAGTGTAGATAGCTTACATGTGATGAGAGTCGCTAGACCAGTGATGGAAATGATCCAAGTGTAGACCACACCGGCTCCAGACGACAGGTTTAGCAGAGACAAGAAGCCGATAAGATTCATGACCGCCAGAGACACGACAGGGACGCCGTTTTTGTTCGTCCTCGCGAAGATCTTGGGAGCCTGTCCCTCCTGGGCGAGGCCGTAGAGCGTGCGCGGGCCGACGTAAAGCGCTGCGTTGATGGCGGAGAACATCGTGACGAGGATGATGGCGTTGACGACATGCGCCCCTGCATTCGCGCCCACTCGAGTAAAGGCGATAACGAACGGCTACCGGGCCGTTTTGCTCGTCGCAGACAGCAGATTCGGGTCGTTGTATGGCACGGTGATGGTAAGAAAGAAGATGCCCAGCAGGAAGATGCCGCAGATGCGCCAGAGGACGGATTTGACGGCCTTGGGCACGTCGCGCGCTGGGTTGGCCGACTCTCCAGCAGTAAGTCCGATCATTTCGATACCGCTGTACTGCAGCGCTGCAAAGACGAAGACTTTGAAGACACCTTTAGCGCCGTCGGCGAACGCGCCGGGGTCATGGTAGAATTTGAACCCAATCTTCTCGCCGCCGAGGACGCCGGATGTTATGAGGATTGCGCAGAGAAAGAAGGCGAAGATGGCGAGGATTTTGACGAGGGCTAGCCAGAATTCTGCTTCGCCGAAGGATTTGATGCCGAGGAGTGTGAAGGCGAGGAAGAACCACCTGCGAGGAGCTGCTGTTAGCGTAATGAACCCGACAGCTTACAGGCAAGACTCTTACCAGAAGATCAAGATCCACCCCCATCTCGGAACAGCTGTCTCCCAGTAAGTCAAGACGAGGCCCAAGTTGTCTGCGTTGAAGATCAGCTGTGGCATATCAGATGCGACGGATGCACGTCATACTGTATTCCGCAATGATAATTCCAGCCCAAAGAAGCCAGTAATTCCAGCCGAGCGCGAAACCAACGGCAGGGTCAACGAAGGTGGAGGTGTAATGCGTGAAAGAACCTAGGTACCGCGACAAGCTATCAGCAACTCAATGTTCATCGAAAGCGGACGGTGCAACAAACCTGACAGCGGTATGAAAGCACCGAGTTCGCCTAGAGACTGCATAACAGCCCAGAGCAGCACGCCGACAACCGTGAAGCAGAGAAGGAGTCCCGCCGGTCCGGCGCTCGTCAGACCCGTGCCCATTCCCACAAAGTACCCAGACCCAATAACACCGCCAATAGCGAGCATCATCTGCACCAACAGAACCGAGTTAGCCCACAACAATCGTTGGAAAACACTGGGTCGTCAGCAATTCAACGCACCAAGTGAGGGCCTGCTAGCCCTCTATGCAGGCCGGGTCCGCCGCCCGTAGTAGGCGCTGTCTCCCCATCGTGTGCAGTCGATGTTCGCTTCAACGCATTGTCGTCTTTTGACTCAGCTTTCAAGTCCGCCATTTTCAATCGTTCGATATTATCAAAAAGTTGTCCGATCTAGGAAAATAATAGTCGCCATCTTAGAGCTGGGACAGGTCTTCAGTGTATATACAATGTCGAAGAAGACCGTCGTGGCTAACAAAAGATACTTTGGGCCGAGTCAACAGTGATTGAGCCGTGCTTGTAGAAGCTGAAGTTGGGGCGGATAAGGGGCCGGATGGGGGTGGGCTAGCGCCAGCCATTTGGGCCGAGTCATATCTCAGAGCCGCGGGGTTGGAAGGCTCGAAGACGGCAGACCCCTGATTCCGCGGGCGTCTGCTGACGTTGTTCACGAGATGGTCTTGATATGCAGGTTGATCTTGACTAATCAAAGGGTACGTTCGAATTGTATAACATGAACACTTGTTATCTCTTGATGTTGCAAATCCGACGCAATCACCGTCAATTCCGTGTCGTCTCCGCTACTCTTAGCTGAGTCAATTGGACTTTGCCGAGCGACTGGACAACGGCTCCGATGGTAACGGCAGGCTTGCATTCGAATCATGGCAAAAGACCATTTCCGGTCGTCCTTGTTTTGTTGAGCAGGGAAGAACGATCGTCTGGACCATTTCAGGTATCCTCTTGGACCCGTTCATGTATCGGCAGCAACCTGTGTGGCGACAGTGCCTCTTATGCTGAACACTGCAATGACGCGAGGAAATTCTCGGGAGATATCATTTCAGGGAATATTCAGGCATCAGGCTAACAGGCTGTATTGACTATGTACAAGAAGGTATCATGTATGTCTGGACTCCATCAAGCAAAAGAACCTCTTCCACGCGCAGCAGGCCTCGGCTGTGTTTTCATAGACTGTGCTTCGGCTTGTTGTTCAAACTGTCTGAGTGCACTGGACTCCTGTTGATGATGGTGGTGGTGGTGATGATGGTGATGGTGGTGGTAGTGGTGGTGATGATGCACAACTTGCTGTGGTGCAGCGGGGTATCTGAATATGTCTGCTGGGAGACTTTGGCCGAAATCATCGGCGAAGAGCTCGAAATACTGGTTTGGTGAGGGTATTGACAAGTGATTGTGGGATGAGGAGTGTGATGTAGCCACGGTGTTGTAGTCAATCGCGTTCATACTCGAGTTTGAGGACTGTGGTGGCCGCGTGGGTCTTGGTCTGGTAGCTGGCCCTCGAGAACCGAGTTGTCGGCCAGCAAGCGGCACTTCCGGGGCAGTGTCCCATCCTGATCTCGGTGGTGTCGAAGCGCAATCAGAGCTGCCGGACGACACGCCTTGATATGATTGGCGTTGCGTTGCTTCGGTGTCCTCAATGATGCCTAGGGTACTGGCATCATTTTGCTCTGTGATGTGAGACTGCGTGGAAATCTCTGGAAAGTGTCCGGGATCTGAGACAAAGTTTATGGCATCATCTCCCAAACTTGTATTCGTGTCCATCATGGCCGTACTGAGGTTGCCAAGATCGAGCTGATTAGGCATTTCTGTGTCGATTCCAGTTGATGGTGTAACCAAGTCCTGGGTCTCTGGCGAGATACCATTCTCACTTGCCGACATTTGGCAAGCTGTTGATGACGGCGTGCTAGTTGAAGGCGAGCCCTTGGAGTGTCTGGACAACGCCCTCCACCTGTTGCGACATGTAAGAGGAGGGCGGCCTGGTAGCTTAGCCGATATTGCTGACCACCGGTGTCCCAGTGTCTGGACGCCTTCCCTCAGGATATCGTCTTCCAAGGGACTCCAGTGACTCAGACGGTCTTTTGCCTGGGGGTTGAGAGTGTCGTTATATCGCTTTACACACTGGTCGTCTTTCCTTCCAGGTATTAAAACAGCTAGACGAAGATGATATTAGACGGAGCCAGATGATGATCAATAATAGATGGCTGCCTCTCACCGATGTCATGCCAGGCGGGTCCAAGACGGGTGTATGCTGACAATAAGACCTGGTCCTCTTGTGGTGTCCATCTACGTTTCCTTAATGACGGATCAAGTGAGTGGAACCAACGTTTGCGACAGTCCTTCATGAGTGGTTAGTCCCTCAGGTACATGTTCCTGCCGGGGGGGAAGGTCTCACCTTGGCAGTGCGATCTTGCAGGCCTGCGGCGATGTCCTTCCACCTGCTCTGCGGACCCCTTGCGTCACCGTAATGAGATACAAGGGCTTTCAGTATCGCGTCCTCGGCCGGTGTCCAGATCCTCCGCGGCCGGGTAGCAACATTGGCAGCTTCGGAACGGGGAGATGAGTCCTCGAGCGACATGGGGACGGGCGAAAGGGGGAATCGTCGGTATATGTGACAGAATGACCAAGTCCGACGAGATCGAGGGCAACACCGGCGGCTTTGAGTCTCCCTTGATTGAGCAGACTCGCCAACGCGTTCTCTAACAGTCTCGCCTCCGTGTCTGCGCCTATCTTCGGAGACAAGAGTCCCCTTTTTTCCCGCCTCGCAGCTTATCTCTGGTCCCCCCGCAGTTTCTTTCGGGGGTTCCCCGCATTCTGGGTGGAGATATGACTCGGCCCAGTCCCGACAGGGATTGATGATGATTGGTGAGACCGGACGGCACTAGCGGCACCACTTGACCCGGCCGGGGGAGGCCGTGTCATGCCGATCCGGACGGGCGACCGAGTCCTAGTTGACTCGGCTTCGGCGTTCGTCTCAGGATATAAGCAGATATCCGGCGAAGTGATGGGGTTGTCAGTTAGGTTTCCCTTTCATCATTCTCTCTTCCTCGTCATTTGTTATCTTCAGTCGAGGCCTCAACACCATGTCTTCTTCAGAGTATCTTCATCCCCTTGACCCGGCCACGGCCGAGGAAATCCAAATTGCCACAGACCTATTCAAGAACTTATTATATGGCATCCCTCTTCACTTCAAGGCTGCGGGTCTCGACGAGCCTCCCAAGCAGGAGATGGTCGCATACCTCAAGGCAGAGCATGCAGGAGAGCCTCTACCAGAGATCCCTCGTCGCATCTTTGCGATCTGGTACATCAAGCGATCTCCTCGTCTATTCGAGGGCGTGATCGATGTCACCAACAAGCGAGTCATTGAGCATGAAGAGCTTTCACGAGACTTCCACGGACCTGTCGACCGTGTCGAGCTCAACGAGGCGGCCCAGGTGGTAATGACCAATGCCGACGTGCACAAGGAGCTCGCACGGTTGAAGATTGACAAAGCGAATGTTGTTCTTGACCCATGGGACTACGGAGTTGATGGCATCGACACACAAGAGCGCATGACACAGGTGACGATGCACCTCGCCTAGACACAGGACATTCTCTAACGCACCGTGGGTTTTCATGTACATGAAGAACCCAAAGAACAACGACGTCGACTCATCACACTACTCCTTCCCCCTTGACTTCATGGTAATTGTGGACCTATGCACCATGAAGGTGAAGAAGATCATCCGGCTGCCATTAGGTTCGGACGAGAGCACAACAGAAGGCATGGACGACATCGCGCAACGCGAGACAGACCCTGCCGAACCCGAGTACGACCATCGTCTTCAGAAGAACCCTCCTCGGACATCTATGAAGCCATACAACGTCGTCCAGCCCGAGGGAGCGTCCTTCACCGTGAAAGGTCACCTCATCGAATGGGAGAAGTGGCGTTTCCGTGTGGGCTTCAACTGGCGCGAAGGTTGGTCCATCAATGACCGTCAACAAGTTCCGATTCTAACCAATCACAGGCTTGACCCTGCATGACCTGCACTTCATGGATCGCAGCACGTTCTACCGTCTCTCCTTGTCGGAGATGTTCGTACCCTACGGAGACCCTCGAAGCCCCATCTATCGCAAGGGTGCCTTCGACCTTGGCAACGTCGGTGCTGGCGTGACTGCGAACAACCTTCAGCGTAAGTGCCTACCCTCGCTTCTCGGTGCGGATAGCTGATATTGATAGTTGGATGTGACTGCCTTGGTACTATTAAGTACATCAGCGGCTGCGTTGTTTCAGCCGACGGAAGCCCAGCTCCCCGTCCCAACGCCATCTGCATTCACGAGATCGACAACGGCATCCAATGGAAGCACACCAACCACCGAACCGGCAAGGCCACCGTGGTCCGCAAGAGACAGCTCGTTCTCCAGCAGATCATTACCGTTGCCAACTACGAGTACATCTTTGCTTGGATATTGGATCAATCAGGCGAGATCTCCTTCGAGACCAGGGCTACCGGTATCTTGTCTACTCAGCCCATCGACAAGGACTCCAAGGTTCCTTGGGGAACCCGTGTTGCCGACGGTGTCATGGCACCGTACCACCAGCACCTCTTCAACGTCCGCATCGATCCTGCTGTCGACGGCCACCAGAACACCTTCACATACACCGACTCAGTAGCCATGCCTTGGGATGAGAAGCTCAACCCACTAGACACAGGCTACGTGAGCAAAGAGACACCCGTCATCCGCGCTGGACCCGTAGAGGACAGTCTGAAGGACGGCCGTGTCTTCAAGATCGTCAACGAAAACATACAGAACCCTGTCTCGTTGACCCCCGTTGGCTACAAGCTCGTCCCCATCCGATCCCAAACGCTTCTTGCCCAGCCTGGCTCGTGGCACTGGCGTCGCTCTGAGTTCTGCGAGGTGCCCATCTGGGTGACCAAGTACAAGGACCGCCAGTTGTTCCCGGCGGGCGACCACACCAACCAAGGTCTCGGCGGAACCGGCATCAAGTCGTGGACGAAGACAAGGGATCACATCCCTAACGATGACATTGTCATTTGGCACACATTCGGCTTCACGCACAACCCTCGCGTGAAGGACTTCCCCATCATGCCTGCTGAAATCGCGCAGTTCCACCTCAAGCCTTACAACTTTTGCAACTACAACCCCACCAACGATGTGCCGCCTTCCAACCAGGCTTTCAACAAGAGCACCCTGTTTGAAGATGCAGGCAAGGAGGGACAGAGGGGTTCATGCTGCGGTGCGGATACTCCTGCCGACTCGACATCGAGCAAAGGTGAAGGGGAAAGCCCGTTTGTGAAGGTAGCCCTACCAGACAACACTGAGTCTTGAAGAATCCTGGGTTGAGGAATACGCATAGGCATAATTAGTCATTCTTCTGTATATAGTCAAGGTTTGGCAAGACATTATCAATCCTCTATCTCGGACACTTTGCACTAAAGACTCAATCATGATACAAGGTAAATTTCATTGTTTATGGACCACTAAAGGCTTCTTCCGACTGGATTGAAACATGATACAACGATACTGGCTCTGCTCATGCAGTGGAGGACATGCAATGCTGGCTGCTGCTTCTTTTCGGCTACATGGCTAGTTTTCAAAGTCTTGCCAGAGCCTCGCGCGCTTCTGCGAGTGAAACGTGGTGCGACATGAACCAATCAACGTCTTATCGGAGGCAAACAGAGAAAATATGAAAGACAATATGAGGCTTGGCATCTCCATTGTTTGTTTAGAATCGATTGGGTACCTCACCCGCGCCGAATTTCCATTTCCATTTGCGCATCTGACATGCATGTCACCCATGTCTCCAAGATGTTGTTTGTCAGCTGCTAACCCCGCGAGAGTTCAGTCTGAATGGGAAAACTTTACATCTCCCAGAACTATCAACCCTCCAGCTACCAATGTTTCTCCTATTGCAATATCACATCTTCGAGGACCATCATTGGACCACAACAGTCACCTAGCCGCTTGAGGTGACTTTTAATGCAGCAGATCACGCAAGTCTCTCGCTCGCTCAAGATGAGCCGATGGCATCGAGAATCTTGCTCGGACCCGGTGATTGTCATCGAACAGCGGGTGCCGAACTGCAAATCTTGCAATTCTTCTCCAAACTTGGAGGCCTTGATCTCATCACAGTCGTCAAAGAACCTCAGTCCCTCGTCAATCCCCCCCGATGAGCCTTACGGGCAACTCAATTTGTGGTGGCCTCCGGCTGTTCCATCCATATCAGCCTGCGTCGCTGAAAGCCCAAATGGACCAAGTCGAAAAGCCTGCCAGTTCTGATAGAAGGCACGTCGCCGAAGACAACCATAAGCTGGGCGACAACTCTTCTAGCCATGTGTATATATCTCAACTGCGCAATGATGAGTTTCGCTTGCTGCGTCTTACGTCAGTCGCCGACGTCGGCGATCCTGTTCATGTCGACTTGGATACACACCACGATGAAAGATACCCAGATTACGAGACCGTCTCGTACACCTGGGGCGGTGAAGAAGAAGACAGTACCCCATGTCAACCGATCTACTTCGGGCAGCACTGGGACATTCTTATCCAGACCCGAAATTGCTGGGACATGTTGCGATGCTTACGCCCACGAAGAGACGCTAGACGGGTCTGGGTTGACGCCATATGCATTGACCAGCGCAATTTAAACGAGAGAGAACTACAAGTGGCAAAAATGGCAAGCGTCTTTGAAAAGGCTACCCGAACTATAGTCTATCTGGGTCCAGATTTGGCTTCTTCTACATCAACCTCAACGCCTTATTCACGAAGAAATCATATTCAAGAGCTTTTTACTGTTCCAAAGCACGTTCGTCTTTCTGAGATCTTCCCAGATTGTCCTGTAGGCCTAAAATCTGACGGTTTGTTGAAACGCGAATATTTTCAACGACTTTGGGTCATTCAAGAGCTTCTGGTTTCACGAGATGTCACTTTTCTCATTGGCGACATCGAATTCACCACTATCCGCAGACTGGGTGACCCGCCAAGCTTGGAACAACCCCCATACGCATCTCTAGCCAGTCAGTTGGTTCCCTGGCTGAAACATGCCACGCAAAAGGTCATCGGAGACAGTTCCAACGAACTGCTTGCAGCAGTGGACCTTGCACACTATTCCAAAGCCACAGATCCCCGTGACAAGATTTATGGCGTCTTTGGAATGACTCGGAAAGAGAAGGACATAGTTCCTTCGTACTCTATCTCCTTTCAACACGTTGCTATTGGATATTTCGCATATTGCATCACGGTCAAGAGGGACATACGGGTGATTTCCAAAGCAGCAGGACTCAATGCAGCAAAGTCAATGCCTTCTTGGGCTCCCTCGCTTCTGCCAAGAACGATGAGGAACGCATGTGTAATTCCGCAGCTCGGCACGGAGCAAGAAAAGACTATGTACGATTCGATGGAATTTTCCACGGCATACGCGATACACCATCAACCTCCAACTGAAACCTACAAGGAGTCGAATTTTCATTGCCCGCCACCGGAGGACTGGAGATATTTTAAGAAGTGGTCACCTCTTCGTCCGTCACATACATGCTCGAAGGTGCTTTGTGGACATGAGGCATTATGGCTGTCCAAGTATCTCGAATCCAAATCTTTTTCTGTTTCTCAACCCTTTCTTCCTAAAAACTACTGGCACTCACAATTAAAGGTCGACAGATTAACTGGGGCCCTAACAGACGTCAAAGATTTCCACTTACTTTCCTTCGACAATTTGAGTCTCACACCTGATGAAATTCATCGCAACGGAAAGATTCACACAAATGTCTTCAAAGCAGATGAAAGCTTTCTCATAATACATGCGGACAAGAAATGCTTCGACACCTCTTCAGACTTATTACAGACCCATCTACTTGCCCTATATGACGGTGGTTGGCAGCCAGGTCAGGCCTGGAACACCTTCAAGTCTAGGATCTGTATCATGCGATCAACGAGCACTCAAGACACATTTCGTTTAGTCTCAGCCTCGGTCGATGTTTGTTTCCACAGGCCTTATCCACCTGCACACCACTACGAGCTATTCAGCGATCCAAAACTGCATCAGGACTCCTGGTACGATCTAAGACACCAGACGCGGACTAAGCTCGTAGGGGGTGCGAACGCGCCTGCATTGCTGCCAATGCTTACTCAGGAGAGCCTTCGTCATACTACGCTTACCGAAGGCCAAACAGGCCAGGCTTCACGCCTTGGTCAGGTCGAATGCTTACCTGTTGAAGCATTTGACACAACTTTGGCCAGTTTACTTGGGCGTCTGAGACGTGACATCGACGGCCTTCCTTGGATGGACTTTCTTCATCGCGGAAATCCTGAAAGCTGTCTACTTCGTTGGCTTGGGTTTGCGTTTCCCGGCGTAAGAGACCCAGATGACTTTATTCAAGTCCTTTACTCGGTTTTTGTCGTTGAGAGGGGCGATAAGGGCGCTGTCAGCTCTTTCTTTGATACATATTTTGAAACTGTTAAAAGCTTCAAGCCTCACGTATTCGAAGCTCCTTGGCTACTAAGCTATTCTCCGTGGGCCTCACCTCGATGGTCGGAGCGGCGGAAGGATTGGAGAGGGGTACAAGACAAAACAATGATCGAGTTATGTTTTCGAGGTCGAAAAGACATTTCGAGGCTTCAGGATATCGTATCATTTATGGAGGAACCGTGGTTAGTTCTTGCAACCTTGTACTTACCCTATTGCTAATTTAGTTCACTAGGCTATGGCACCATCTTGTATATCCAGAGGATCATCCGGATGTCTTCATAATCAGTTGGGGCAGATCAATCGCCGAGATCTACACTGAGGAAATCGAAGGCTACGAGTACCACTACAAAGATCCTAATCTTTTTGTTTACATCCGAGACGAAGATGTTGAAAATGAAGGGTTTGCAGTAAAGCCCCTCATTAAATTCGTTCACCGAACGCTTCCTAACAATCTTGAGCAATATCTGAGAAGAGCTGACTTGAAGGATGAAGACAAGGCTATTTGGATTGCGATTGACCTACAAACACTCATCTTGTGGGCACAAACACATCCAGTCATGGGGATGTTCGGGGTTTTGACGCCATACTACAGGGATGAGGAGAGTGAATTGAGTCTTTTGCTTAGGAATCCCCTTCCAAAAGACGAAATCGTCATAACTGCAAAGTGGCCAAAGCACATCGTTGATGAATTTGGCATTGACAAGACCGCTCGCATGCGGAAAATCAGTATCGTTTAGGAAGAAGTCAGGTCTAGCTCCTTTTCAATTACGAGATAACTTTCGATCTTTACTTCTTTCTTCTTCCTCTTAGCCCCTAAACTGAGGCAGACCCTCATTTGTTGTTGTCCGTTTGAAGCTCGTATGATTTTTCGGAACTCAGGTGACGAATATCAGCTTGCACCTCTAAATGTCAGGAATCCATCTTGGAATAGGGAACCTGTGCGTAAAACAAGGTAAGCAGTTAATTGTAATCAAACGAAAGCCCAGACACTTGGGTCACTTTAAGCGGGAACGTCGGTACCACTCCCGACAGATATTGCAATATCAGCCGGACCATCATCCTCCGTCGATCCACTCAAAACGGCTCCCATAGGATCCTGTTCACCGTCCAGGTCAATCTAATTTGCCAAGACGTAGCAGCGAACCAACAAGCATAAATCATTTAACCAAACATAAAATAGACCGCAGGCTCACGGTTGACCTGTTGCCGCCGTGGCGGTCTTGGCCGTCTGGTCATCTGGTCCAGACGTCCAACCCGTGCCGCCATCGACGGCTTCAGATTCCGGTACAGAGGCGAACAAGCGAGAGATCCCAAGACCATGGGAGTCCTCACATCTTTTCATCTATATAAACTCAACTCCATCAAACCAGCATGACGATCGTTCCACATCCTCAACCACCCATCTCACACTCTCTTTCCGAAACACTCCTTCACCCATTCTCACAATGAAGCTCCTCCTCCCCCTCCTCTCCGCCACCGCGGCCTCCGCCCACACAATCTTCTCCTCCCTCGAAGCCGGCGGCGTCAACAGCGGCGTCGGCGTCGGCGTCCGAGTCCCCTCCTACAACGGCCCCATCGAGGACGTCACCTCCTCCTCCATGGCCTGCAACGGCCCGCCCAACCCGACCACGCCCACCTCCAAGGTCATCACCGTCACCGCCGGCCAGTCCGTTACCGCCGTCTGGCGCTACATGCTCAACAGCGGCGGCTCCGCGCCCGCCGACATCATGGACTCCTCGCACAAGGGCCCCACCATCGCGTACCTCAAGAAGGTCTCCGACGCGACCACCGACACCGGCGTCGGCGGCGGCTGGTTCAAGATCCAGGAGGACGGCTTCAGCAACGGCGTTTGGGGCACCGAGAAGGTCATCAACGGCCAGGGCAAGCACACCATCAAGATCCCCGCGTGCATCGCCCCCGGGCAGTACCTGCTGCGCGCGGAGATGATTGCGCTGCACGGCGCGGGGAGCTACCCCGGCGCGCAGTTCTACATGGAGTGCGCGCAGATCAATGTCGTGGGCGGCACGGGGGCCAAGACGCCGGCCAACACGGTCAGCTTCCCTGGCGCGTACAAGGGCACCGACCCCGGTGTGACCATCAACATCTGTAAGTTGTCCATGTTGAGGATTTGTAGGTTTGGCTGTGATGCTAACTGTGTTGTTTGCAGACTACCCCGTCGTTACGTCGTACACCATCCCGGGACCCCAGCTCTTCACCTGCTAGATGGCTCAGGCTTAGGAGATGAGATAGGAGAGGAAACGTCATTGTTGAGACTACGCCCGCTCGTTTTGACTCGCTTCGCACATTAGGTCGTGTGACTCAACAGGAAAAAAAGTCCTGATGGGAAGTGCTCGGCTGTAACTTCTTGTACATAGTTACCACATGTCAATACACTTTAGTTCTGCTACCGCAGAGTACTACACCAACACTGTCACCTTCTCAAGAGTTTCAGGTATTTCATTTCACGCTCTCAACACATTAAACTTATTTGTTGAACCTAGGACTCAGAAGCCAAAAAGCTTAGTCAATTAATAATCATTATGGGTTGAGACAAATAGCATCAACAACAATTAGGATAATGAGGACCACGTAAGTCAGTAAAATGGTACGCTTACGAGAGGAAAATAACTCAGTCTAAACGAGAGATGAAGAAGAAAAAGTTGAATTACTCCTTGGCGTATTTGGCGGTAGTTGAGCTTCAAGAGAAAAAAGACCGACAAAAAGGCAAAAAAGACCAAAAGATTTTGACCAGCATGGGGGTCGAACCCACAATCTCCTGATTCCACGGTATATCGTAGTCAGACGCCTTGCCATTGGGCCAACCGGCCAGACAATTCAGAGCGCCTGAGGCGCCCGTCTGTGGAAGACATGGGCGTAGAGACAGCTCATATCGCACGAGCAGCGGGAGCGCAATGCCGCAGATTTGTGCGCATGAACGCTCGGTCAGTTGTGCAGTTTGGTCAATTGCGCAAACCCAATTGCAAGCTTGGTGGGGTCGGGGAATTTGGGATGAAAAAATTTGTGCCCCGGCATGGCGCGAAGGCTAAATGCCGCAGCCCCTCCCGATGTCGGCGGGGTTTGGGTTCGACCGTCGAGGAAGATGGCCCCGCTTGGATGACATGATGGTGGAGGTCTGATGAGATATCGCTTGGTTCATTACGTCTATTGAAGGCATTGAGGGACGAGTCAATTGGATCATGTCTGGCGCTGACTGCTTCCCTGGATTAATGAAGAGCAACACGATCGCAAGTGAGCACAGGATGAGGACATAAGGTTGACAATGTACGCGGTCTATTTTCCGGTTTGAAAGAGATATCTATGGACAAAGCCACTCAAAGCTCCCATCACATTTTCATCTCGTCTATCTCGACAAAGGCCATATCAGGGGCAAACAAGACAACCCCTTACACGCGGGAGATGAGGTCCTCTCTCTTGGGACCGGTGCCGATCCAGACACACTTGACACCGACAAACTCCTCAATGAACTCAATGTACGCGCGCGCCTGCTTGGGCAGGTCGAAGTACGTCTTGGCGCCGGTGGTGGGCGTGTTCCACCCCTCGAGCTCCTTGTAGACGACCTCGGCCTTCTCGAGCGTCTTGAGGTCGGCGGGGAAGGAGGGAAGCTCCTCGCCCGTCTCCTTATCCTTGTAGGCGACGGCGACCTTGATGGTGGGGAAGGTGTCGAGGATGTCGAGCTTGGTGAGGTTGAGGGCGGTGTAGTGGTTGAGGTTCGCCGAGTACTTGACGACAACAAGGTCGAGCCAGCCGCAGCGGCGGGAGCGGCCCGTGGAGACACCAATCTCGTGGCCGATCTTGCCGAGCTTCTCGCCGACCTCGTTGAGCTGTTCTGTGGGGAAGGCACCGCCGCCGACGCGGGTGGTGTAGGCCTTGACGACACCGACGATGTGGTTGATCTTGCGGGGGTTGAGGCCGAGCTGGAGGCCGTGTTAGTGGTGTGTAGAACGGGTTACGGGTGGTTTTGCCTACACCAGTGAAAACACCACCGAGGCCAGTGTTTGATGATGTGACGAAGGGGTAGGTTCCGAAGTCTGGCATGGTTAGCTGCGAACGCGGTCGCAGGTGAAGTGCTACCTACTAAGGTCAAGCATGACAGCCTGGGCACCCTCGACGAGGATCTTGGTGTTCTTGGCCTGCGCGTCGGCCATGATGGGGACGGCGTCAACGACAAACGTCTAAACCTAGTCAGCGCATGTTTGATGCTGGGCAAGAGAATGCGCAATACCCTCAGGTCCTCTCTGTACTGCTTGAAACGCTTGATCTCGTCCTCGATGTCGTAGACCAAAAGGTCGCCGAAGCGCTTCTTGAAGCCGGTGGCAAGCTGGCGCAGCTTGCGCTCAAAGACCTCCTCATCGAACATCTCGCTGATGGTGATGCCGTTGCGGGCGGCCATGGTGCTGTAGGTTGGGCCAATACCGCGCTTGGTGGTGCCGATGCTGTTGCCGCCAAGCTCCTGCTCCTCGAGGCCGTCGACCTGGATGTGGCAGTCGGTGATGATGTGGCATCGGTCGGAGACGAGAAGGCGGTCGCGGATGTTCTTGAGGCCCTTGGCCTCGAGGTCGGCCATCTCCTTGAAGAAGGTGGGAACATGGACGACGGCGCCGGAGCCGATGAGGCAGATGGCCTGGGGGTGGAGGAGGCCGGAAGGGAGAAGGTCTGGAGGGACCAGATGTCAGCCAAGGCATGTCATCGCAGAGGCACAGGCGAAAGACTCACGGAAGTCGTAGCTTACACCGTTGGCGATGACGGTGTGGCCGGCTGGGGGAGGCTGCTGTTAGAATGGTGTTCGATTGATGGCATCAGGAGCTGGAGTAACTCCTACCATTGTGTCCGCCCTAGGGCCATCAGCATGCCATTGATTATCCATAGAGTACCGCAGTCCCAACCTGAGCTCTGGCGCAAATCTGCGCGTCCTGTCCAAGGCTATGTGGAGGGTTAGAGGGAGAGGTTGTGACGGAGGGAACAAGGGCGCAGCTTACACATCAACCAGCTTTCCCTTGCCCTCGTCGCTGCGGGTGAGAGGATGTGTTAGTTCCAGAGTATGTAGAGCAATTGGCGCAGCAGGGCATCATGAACGGCGATGTCTCCTGGTGATCGCGTACACCAATCGGGCCGGTGCGTGTACGCGTGTTCCAGGGTGTATTCGGCGCGCTCGCCCTGCTGGCTGGGGCCATTGATGGCGAGGTAAAGCATTGGCATGGTAGAGCAAGGCAGAGAGAGAGTGTAAAGCAAATGTGCGCGACTGTGGTAACAATGACGATGACATGACAGGACAAGAGGAAGGGTGGCGGAGTGTGACAGCTTACCCCCACTGGGCGCCGAGAACGATGTCAATCGTAGCCATGGCGTCGGGTAGTAGAGAAGAGACTGGAAGTGAATCCAGTGTGTATAGCGAGCAACAAATACGGTCGATTGGCCAAAGTATGGGATGCTGCGATCGCAACGTCGGTCTGCGATAATCCCAAAAAAACAATCAGAAGGGAGAAGACGCGGGGTTTAAAAATTCCCATGGAGGGGCAGGTTTTGCTCCGGCGGGGCTCCAACTTTGCGCTCCACTAAGAGTCATCACACTCAGTGCACCCAAGGTACGCCTGCACCCAGTAGTGTTGGCAGTGACACCCGTGTGAGTGACTCTTTCCAATGGAATCCTTCAACGCGCCGCCGTTGCGCAATCGGAAGAAAAGTGTACGTACCGCGGTAATTACGTACCAATGGCCGACCACCACGCGGGACGGAACCGCCCGGAGTGGATGAATCAGGCAGGACCGGCAATCGGTCACGTGCAGCGGCTGGCGAAGCCACTTCTACTGAGCCATATACCCTCAGCCACAATGCGCGCAAGCCACAGCTTCAGCCACGGCCGCCTTTCTGTATCTCGACAACTCTCTCTCTATTAACATCCTTGAACATAAGGTTCGATGCGCAGATGGATGTGGCTCTCTGTCCAATGCTTTGCGAACACTATCGCGATCAAGTCATCCGTTGGAAACGTTCTCTGCTACCCGTGTCCTGTCATTGTCAGTCGCACCAAGGGCAGACTGTGCTGGGTTGCTTCCATCACAGAGTGCCCATTCCATGTCTCAATTCTCAGTACTAAAACGACACTCTCCCCCATCGATTGCTAAGATGAGCTTAACTGTGTTAGTCTTTCGGCCCCTGTGTGCTTGTGGAATGGTTTGCCCATCATGATGCCGAGCACCGAGTTGGAGATCCACCACCTGAACCCATCATCCATGTCCCCGAGGACAATGCAGTTTTTCTCAGTCTTCCTCACTCGTCCTACCAGTTCTTGAAAAGCTTTTTCGTAAGAGGCATTCGGTATTATTTCTCCCTGTTGCTTTGCACGATTTTCTCCCAGCAGAGAAACTCATGGCAACTTTGAATAACTCAATCTAGACCTTCTACAGGCATGCACAAATGGGCCAACTTGCATCTAATGCGCACCAACGGCCACCTTCACGTGGCTTCGCCCGACAGATACCACCAAGCCTCGGAAGCTTTGCAATTGGCCGAACGAGCCAGCGCAGCATCCCAATAAGCTCACTCTCACTCGGATGTCCTACCGAACATGGCAACAAGGAATCCCCAGACCCATCCACCCACCTCAAGCTGAAAATTTGCCGCCAAAGAACCAATCACTCCCCTTGCCCGAACGCCATCCAATCTTATCAGATGGATCAGATAAACCTGCCCCCGACCTCACCATCCTCCCCTCAGGCCATTATCAATCTAACCACCTTCCCCCAACCAATCACGCCCCTCACGCCACTCCACAGCATGCTCAAAAAGACCCTGGACCCATGCAGAGTCCAGAGATCTCTAACCGAGCATCCAGATCCGGCAAGGCGCTCAGCTGCGACCCCTGCCCGAATGGACTGTTGGTGCGCCGCCGGACCACCCTACACGAGCTTATTGCCCTTTTGCTTCACTCCAGCCGTTGGTGATGGCCTTGGACAGCTGCCAAGAAAGGATTGGTCTACTTCGCTTCTGTAAAGAGAGCGCCACAATGCAGGTGCTTGACTCTGTTCAGTCTCCCAGGCCACCCGCCGACTGGTAAAGCCTGGTGTTCTCGGGCACGTCGGATCGTAAAGAGCGCATGTGGAGTGCATGTACATAATAGACGACGATTCCCACGAGCAGCTGCGGTGCGCCGTTTTCGCTACGGTTCCTTCCCGCGGTTTTCTTACTTTGCCGGCCTGAAACTC